TGTTTGGTTGCGTGCACCCACTGACCTCAGGGTCTTATGCGGCTTCGGTCCAATGCTGTGGACACGCCATCAGGGCGGCTTTACACCACCATTAACAGCATTTTTCTCCCAGTACATAGTCTGGGCCCATCAGCAAGGAGTCTGGACATGGAGAAGCAAGCTGGCAGGCAACAGCGGCAGAACGCACAACGTCTTCTTGGATGTTGTGCCTGCTCAGAGGCACTGCAGCACCGAGGGACCTCAAACAACCTGTCAGAGAGAAGAGCAGTTTTTTTTATCTTGAAAGTATTTTCACTTTGTTGCATTTCCACCTCTTCTTGTGTTAAACTGAAACTTTAGATTCATATTGGAGCAGTCACAGAGCGGAGCCTCGTCATTTTCCTGGCAAGAAAAAGTGTGTTTTGCCAGTTGCGGCACATTTTTAAGGCCTTTGCTGAGACCACTGGACTGAAAAGTACATGGAAAATAAACGTGTGTAAAATGACACTAAAATATGAGCGCAGTTTTTCATTCAAGTTTGAATTACACCATTGAGTTTTCACTTCACGGGATGCGCGCTGGAACAGCGGCCTGATGGATGGTGCTCGTTTTCCCATCCGTCGGTTCATAAACACGATGGCCTCGCCGAGTGTCTGAAAGAAGAAAAACTGACTGCTACAGATAATCAGTTGATTAATCATTTCCTTTCTTTAATCTTTCCCACACAAAGGCTCATCTATCGGCTCTCATCAAGTCCATACTATACTTCATTAAAGATTAATAAAAGCAAAGATCAGCATATCAAGTACAAAAGCTGAGTGTTTGCAGCGTGTTTGTGTATCCACTGCTGCAGGAGCCGTCTCAGTTTCCTGCTATTTACGGCTGATCTGGACTTCCTGTTTCCTGCGTCCCCTTAGCCTCAACACAAAAGCTTCTCTGCACTGAGGAGGGGAAAAGAAAACGCCTAACATGTGATGTTAAACGCAGGAACGCTCGCTCTGAGTCATTCTCCTTCATAGGATCTCTTTTTGCACTGGCAGGACATTTTGTTTGTTTCACTCACTTATGTCTGACTCATGTTAAAATCACCAGAAACCCAAAGTGATCTGAACATATAAGATAAGATAAGATAACCTTTATTAGTCCCACACGTGGGAAATTTGTTTTGTCACAGCAGGAAGTGGACAGTGCAAAAGTTATGAGGCAAAAATTAGAATACAATAAGAATAAATACAGTACACAACTGTACAGAATAGAATAAAATAAAATACTATATACAGTAGAATAAAATAAAATAAATATACAATAAGATAAAAATAGAATACAAATACAAATACTATATACAACTGAGTAAAAATACAACGATGACAGAAAGGATTATTGCACTTAGTATTATTGCATATGTATGGATGTGTGTGCTTGATCAGTTAAAGTCTTTATTATGGAGTCTGACAGCAGTGGGGAGGAAAGACCTGCGAAATCTCTCCGTCCCACACCGTGGGTGCCGCAGTCTCCCACTGAAGGAGCTGCTCAGTGCTGTCACAGTCTGCTGCATGGGGTGGGAGATGTTGTCCATCAGGGATGACAGCTTAGCCGCCGTTCTCCTGTCACTCACCACCTCCACTGGGTCCAGAGGGCATCCTAGAACAGAGCTGGCCCTTCGGATCACCCTGTTCAGTCTCTTCCTGTCCCCAGCAGAGATGCTGCCGCCCCAGCAGACCACGCCATAAAAGATAGCAGAAGCCACAACAGAGTCATAGAATTTCTTCTATGAAGAATATGAAGAACTGGAAACCAGCAGCTGGCAGTGGGGGAGCTCCGAATCTGAGGTCGGTCATGGTCTGTCCTGTTTCTGATCGTAGATTGTAATGCAGACATGAGTTGTTGTTTTTTTTGGGGGGGGGGGGGGGGGGTTTCTGCACGTGCAGCAAAGCAGCATCAACTTTATGTAAAGATGGGCGTAGCCAATCGATGCTGCATTCTGTGTAAAGTTCAGCAGGGGACTCCTCTCACAAGTCTATGAGAAGATGAGCCTCCTGCTTATCTGATCTTTGAGCTCAAACACACTTTGGTCAATCAATAATTTCAGGGTGGTGATGGGGCGGAGCCTATTGCAAATGTCACAGTGGGAGAGACAAAGTAGACTCTGTCCAGCACATTCACACCTGCAGCCAATTTACAATCATCAGCGAGGCAAACAGAGAAACAGACAGCTGGTCAGTGAGTTCAAGCCTTCTTCCTGCCAGCTGTGGATTCAGTGAAGTTAATTTTGGAAGTGAAAGTCACATTAGACTCAAACACCAAGGGAGGATTTAGGCCTTGAGACTGACAGGTTGTAACCGTATGCAGTGTCAGATCCACAGTGGCTAAAACACCCAGCATGAAGCTTCACAAGCGAACTTCATGAACCAACAGGAGGCTTCATAGCAGCCATGTACAGTTTTTGGTTGCAGCTTATCCTCAGCTGATGGTGAAGCAGAACTTTTTTTTACTACCTACAAACCCGCACAGGTCTCACTCTCTTTCTACTCCAACGAAGTCAGGAGACATTTTCCCTGAATTTCTTTGTGTCTTTGTGGCCGTTGGAAAGTGTGTACAGTGCATTTTGGCTTCCATCACAGTGAACGCTGAACATAAAGTAAAATTACATTTGTAAAACGTAAAAACAAAAGTCGAAAAGCTCAGCTGTAAACATGGGGGTGGGGTCTGCGTGTCTCGTCACGAGTACCAGATAAAGAAACTGTTGGACCTGCGTTTGGTGAACAGGTGGCATTCCTCCAAACGGACTCAGAGGAGATTCAATCTGCACTTTAATCAGATTCTTTTCAATGCACATCTGATGAATTCCTCCAATATGGCAGCCGTGCGCCTGCCTGAGGAGGGGTGAGGGTGTGTGTGGGGGGTGGGGTGTCAGAGGGATCTTTGTTTTGGAAGAATGTGAGAGGTTGCCCGTGGCGGGGCGTCCTGTGAGCCGGCAGATGGCCGATGGGACAAGCAGACAAAAGTCTCCGGCAGACTTTTCTCCTTTCAGAGCTTCTCGTCTGAAGAGCAAGACACAAAACAGCACCAGCTGGAGGGGGAGGTGGGAGGAGGGAGTGATGGGTGAAGGCCCACCATCATCATACGTGGGTGTCATGAAGTCATTCCTCTGAAATATTCCGTGTCCTAAACTCTGTCAGTGTCCTCAACCAGAAAACATCTTCAGTCCTTTTTTATATGCCTTAAAATGAGCCATGAAAGATCTTTCGGAGTCTGGGATGCTGGATGTCTCTGAGAAGACTTTATAGTCGCTCCTCCTCTGCGTTGGAGGGTGTTTTATGCTTTAACCCACCTGGATGGCTGAAGGCTCACTTTAGCTTCACATAAACATGAAATTATTGTGATTTTTAAATGAAATGTGCATAACTTAGATCCTAAACAGTGACCTTATCATCTTCTTGTTTCCTCATAGCGTGCCATTGGGTTTAAGGTTAGCAAAGATGCTCAGACCTCAGTGTGTGGATGGATTAGCTAAAGTTTCCCTTAATGAATTGTTTCAGATTAAAAGAAACATTTTAAAGGACAGAAGCCATGATGAGCACAAACATTAGTCCTTTGAAGATTCATGTGCTGTGAGATGTAGTACCTTTAAGAATTGGCGGTTGAAGGCCGGATTGATCCGATTTTTCTGATCTGATCGGGTCTTGACCTCCTCAGACTCAACCCAGGGAGCACTGACGGACGGAGTGTTTGCTCATGAAGCTCCAGGACACTGACACCTGGTGGGAGGTTCCTTAAATCCTTTCTTCTCTCTCTAATTAAACTTCTCTCGCCCCTCTTCATCTGTCAGCTGTCGAGGTTTCTCTTCACCACTTTCCATCTCGGTTCAGTGGATAAAGGTCAAAGGTCAGCGATGCGTTTGGGAGCCAGCAATGCGTTGTGTTGTCATCTTCTCTCCTCTCTCGTCCCCCGTCCTTCCTCCTGACCTGTGGGACAGGATGGGTGTCGTCCTGCCCGAGCTAGCTGTCTGTACACACTGAAAATCAAGTCCACCATGACCTTTGACCCTTCCCGTGCTCACTCAGGAAATAAGTCCAGGGAACTCTTTATCGCACTGCAGAAGACGATTAATGATTTCGTCTTTTCTGGGGGGTTTTAGACACTGCTGACGAGTGCAGCTGCAGTGGAAATCAGAGCAAACACGACAGGAAAAACGAATCTTGGAATAATAATTAATAATAATCTCAAACAGAAAAAGCTTTCCTCTGCTCACAGATGTTAGTAGCTCGTTGCTGCCTCACTGCACACAGGCCGGCTGTTAGATCCCAAACTGTTGGCTCGTTTCATTCACACAGTGTTTTTGTCATGCAGACTGAAGCGATGCATCTCTGGGCAGTTTGGGGATCATGCTCACGTGATGAGTCTGTTGAGTGGGCAGAGGCATACTCTCCTGTGGAAAACAGTCTTTTTCACATGTTTGGAAATATAAACATCACACTTTGATTCTCTGGTTGGTTTTTGTACAACAGGCTTTGATCTACTTTTGCTGTGAGTTAACACAAAGATCTCAGCAGCTCTCCAATCAAACATGACTTGTGTAATGATTTTTCTATGTGCTGCGTCTGTGGGTCTGAGTATCGTTGGAGCTGAGGGGGAAGGTGATGGTCATATTAATCAGTAAGGACTGTAATTGTCACTGGCATCCCTTCGGTTTGTTGTCCCGCTGTGGGAATGTGCGGCCAGATCTCTGGGATTACGCTGAGGGTCTTAAAATTGCTCCTCTGTGATGACCTCAGCCTGCTGCTCGGTTACAAAAAAATGTCACAGAGAAAACAGAGAGAAAACGTGGAGAAAATTGGTCAGCATTCCTGAAAACCAAAATAAACAGAGGACGGAGCGGGGTCTGGTTTTCAGGAAGAAAAAAAACTCAAGCGGAGACGTCATGGAAGGGGAGGAAGGGGAGGGGTGGGGTGGGGGAGTCGTACAAAAGGAAAGTCTGTGTGCTGACCGGGCCCCTCCCTCTCTCTGTTCTCCTCCAACAGATGAGCCAGCACGAAGAAAGAGGGCGATCCACATAGACTAACACAGAGGGGGAGGGAGAGCGCGAGAGCAGCCGGAGCAGAGAGCTTCATTAGAGACGAGAGAGAGGAGGCAGCAGGACGGAGGATGAAGACGCTGCCGAGGGTCTGAAACACAAACAGGTAAAAAAAACTTTATTCATTTATAAAAAAAACTTTGTTTCAGAAATCTGTCCTCGTTAGATTAGTTCCTAAAGGTTTACAAGAAATGTCACATTTAGATCTCTCCTCTTCACTTTCAGTGAAAATTGATTTTTCTGATTGTCCGACAGTCAAAGCTCTGCTGAGCAGTTTCATTAGTCTTCTGAGTCTCAAATTAAAACTCCAAATAGTCCTGCTGTTTTCTGCATTTTTAGTTTGAGCAGCAGAGCAGTGTGAGCAAAGCTGTTTGCAAGAAAATTTCAGAAAATTAGTTTTAAAAGTTGTGAATGAATGTGTGAAAATGAATAGTGGGTTGCACAGAATAAAGAAGAAAACATATGTGAAGCACATCAGCAGTCATGGTGTCAGAGCAGCAGGTGGTACTGTGAGCTGTGCAGACTCGGTTCAGGGTCAAGGGTCATGCTGCAGGCTCAGGTCACTTCACTCAGAGAACGTGTAAAAATGGTTTGACACACAGCAAATATAAGCATGTTGGTCCAAACTTAGTTTCCTTGGTTCACCTGAAGGCAGCTATTAGGTTAGCTGTGTGCTTAATGTCCGTGATGAAGCTCCATCGTATGTTTGGTGTTCAGTCAGATCACAGTTTTAAAGGTCTTTGAGGGTGATAAAGGAACCGGTCATGTGACTTAACATCAGCAAACAGCAGTGTGTATACATCCAGCTGGTGCACTGAAGGTCTTCAGGATGTCGCATTGATAGAAACGGTGCAGTGATCATTTCTGTGTGTGTGTTTGAGCAATCGTCGTCTTTTGATGGTTTGAAATTTGCATTTTAAAGCCTCAACACTTGTCTGTAGAGCTGGTTTGACCGTTTAGATGACCTCCGTTATCGGCTCATGCTAATACAGCGAGCTGTCCACAGGCTTTTAGCATGGGAGGCACTGACTCATGGCTGAAGCCGGCCTCAAGTGGCCACCAGAGGAACTGCAGCTGGACGGCTGTCTTACAAATATCATCTGCAAATCTACCAGAAAATAAACATGTGACATCTGGGTAATATTGCTGTGATAAGGAAGAAGGAAGTTTAGATGCTTCAATTATTTTGTGCATTTGAGAATGGACTGCAGTAAATGAGTGAATGTTTAATGTGTGTTCACAAATGTGGGGTCACTGAGTCTTTAACTCATCTTTGGCTTCCAGTGGGACTGATTATAATACTGCCCATAGTATTTGATGTAGTATTTTAGTACTGACTGTAATATTTAATGTAGTATTGTGTGTAGTATTGCTTTAATACATGCTGTGTGTGTGTGTGTGTGTGTGTGTGTGTGTGTGTGTGTGTGTGTGTGTGTGTGTGTGTGTGTGTGTTTGTTTCCTGGCTGTTGTGTCGCTCGTTTTTGTGCCTCACATCTGATGATGTCATCCTCCTCCATCCTCTTCCAGGTCATCATGGGAAACGCAGACAGCCACAGCAGCTTCGTCTCCCCTGCCAAGCCCTCCTGCTCCTTCAGGTTTTCCTCCAGGAGGGAGGAGGTGACATCGGCTCGCAGCTGGTGGAGGAGCAGCCAGGGAGGCTGCAGGAGCCGAGGGAAAAGCTACCTGAACCACCCAATGGCCAGCTCACCCTACACCTCATGGCGTTACGAACCAGCCCCTAAAGCGGCCCGAGGAGGCGCCAAGCTGAGAGGGGGGTCTCCTCAGAGGCTCTGCAGGGGGGAGTTTGGGGGGGGTGAGCGGGCGTCTCTGGAAAGCAGCGGCAGCCCAAAGGTGCTGCTCAGCAAAGATGGCAGCATGAGGGTGGAGTTCACCAAAGCTCGGGTGGAGCCAGAGAGTCTGAGTGGGCTCCCCGCCATCACTGCCGCAGCAACCACCACCACGAGCGCAGAGGTGTCACTGCGCACCAGCAACGGCAGCTCGCTCAGCTCCGATGGCTCTTGGTACGACTCGCCATGGGGGAACAGCGAGCTGACGGATAACGTGTTTGTGTGCAGGCAGAACGCGGACAACAGCAGCGGCTACACCACTGCCACCAGCAGCAGCGGCTACAACACCTTCTTCTCCGCTCAGGGTGAGGACATCTCACCTGGATTTAGCTCCAGCCTCCTCTTCCCCACCACAGAGACTAATGTATTCACCGCCGCAACTGCAGGTTACAACACCTGCTCCTCTGGCCGGACGGAGGATAGCGGCATTGGAGACTCGGAGCTCCTGCAGCCGGACCTCACGGATTTCAGCCTGATTTCAGCTCCTGGGGTTTACAGCAGTCACAACACGCTACCCGCCTTCCCCACCGACGCTGGGACCCCCGCCGGGGAGGCAGCGCTGCTGGATGATGTCACACAGAAAGAGGAGGGATCAGCCGGTGATATGGAGGAGCATTACTCCTCCTGCACGCTGCCCTGCCGAAATGTGGAGTCTGCGAGCGCCGCCTCTGCCAGGAATAACCGAAAAGACTTCCTGAAGAGCCGAATCAGACGTCTGAGCGACTGGACAGGAAGTCTGAGCAGGAAGAAGAGGAGGATCCAGGTGAGAAACAATAAGATGATGAAGTCATGCTGTGGGCGGAGCTCAGTGGTTTGCCACCTGCTGATGATGGACAAAATGACATCATTTTTTGTTTTCTGACTTTTTACATTTAAGAATGTTGATTTTCAACATGAACTGACATCCCTGATAAAAGTGCACAAAATCATAATATTTTTTTAAATCTTTGAATTCTAGTGTTTGACAAAGTAGAGGTATATGTTTTTATCACTTGAACATAATCACAGCCTGTAAACAAGAAGAAAGAAAGAAAGAAAGAAAGAAAGAAAGAAAGAAAGAAAGAAAGAAAGAAAGAAAGAAAGAAAGAAAGAAAGAAAGAAAGAAAGAAAGAACAAGGTCAATAAAGATCATCAGAATATCTTAAAATGTCTTCAAAGTAAACTCAGTCTAAAACAAAACCTTTAAAAGTTTTTATAAACTCATTAGTAGATCATTTTTTTTATATATTCTGAGAAACTTAAAACTGGTTTTAAAATTAATATCTTCCTTAATCCTCAGACTTAAACAAGTCGTCGAACTAGATTAAAGTCTCATCATGACTAACAACATTACACATGGAGTTAAGTACGAACGCCATTTTCAAACATCATCACACATCAGTAATCTGATGGTAAGCTTTCTCTGTGAGAGCTGGTCCAAAAAAGCCCGGCTTCCTGTTTACAGCCAGCAGAATGAGGTCACATCCTGTCTGCAGTGAGGGAGCTGGAGTAGTGAAGCTTGTTGTTCGTGCTTTTTAACTCAGTGCTGATGATGACGGGGATAATGAAATCAGACGCTGATGTAGTTTCCTCACACTGGAAACCCCAAACACCCCACCCCCCACAACCTGGGTAACCCCCTTACATCAGCGTGACCTCATGAAGACTCGTTTTCCCACACTTGAGTTCCTCCAGATGCACGTCAAACATCAAAGGACTGACGAATAAACTTTTATTATCTGCTCTCTTGATTGTCTTTGTTTCGTCTGCAAGGTTTTTAAGATGTTTAACCCAAAAAGCTTTCTTTGCACTGCGTCAACGTTTCACTGGAGTGCCGCAGTCTGTGTGCCGGATTATTAATTACAATCAGAGAACTTTATTAATCCCAGAGGAACAAAACAGAAACCCTTTGAAAGCATCAGTCTAGCTTAAATCCTCTGCAGCTTTGTGTCACAGTCACAGGAGAATCCATCTTTGCTCTCTGAGATTGATGTCCTAGTGATACATCACAGTGGACTTTTTATTGTTCAGTCTTTCCGGGGCTTTGATCCCGCTCATCAAAAACAAATCACAGTGCTGGAGGAACTTTGATCTCTTGGAAAATTCCTGGAGCTTTTCATGGGAAAGCACCAAAACAAAAACATCACATAGTGACACTGGAGAAAGAAATGTTTGGGAACCTGGAACCAGACCGATCTGAGGGCTTACGTTTCATTTACCCCTTGTTTAGATTTCCATGAGGGCTTGGCTCTGCTCGGCCAATCACAGCACTGTGTTTGATACGGGGGAGTTTGATACAGTGATTGCATGGACAAGCACTTCAGTAAACATCCAGGATCCTTTAAGTCCACTATTATCTCAGGAATAAAAGACCTGCGTGGTAGATTTTCTCTAAAGAACAAACAGCTTAACGCCCTGACTGATAAGAACTGTGCGTTTCTGTACCAACTCACTCTGCCTGTCTATAAACAGCAAGTCTCCACATGTCGTCACTGTCACTTCACAATGACGGTTAAATGTGGAAAACTGCTCAAAAGTGTTGCACAAACCTGGACGAGTCACTCAGTTGGAGGTTTAAAGTAAAGTCAGAGCAGGCATCAAACCCGCGCCCTCTAAAACCAGCAGGTTGTCTTATTGGCTCAAGAGCAGTGATGGATTGTTTGTTTAATGCTGACACTGCAGCGTGAAGCATATTCACACCCCGTTAATGCTAACAGAGGGGAAAATTGTGGTTTGGAATAATACTGCCTGGTGCTGGGCGCTGTGTTTGAGGGCTGCTGTGTGCCTCTAGTGGCCGCAGACGGAATCACAGCAGTCAAATAAAGTCCTCTCTGATTTCTCTGCAGGAGCCGTTTGCCACCGACACAGCCGATGTCTTCATCAATGGACTGAATGCTGGGGCTGTTAGCTGCAGCACGCTGTGTTCCTCCGACCCTCTCCACTCCCTGAACCACAACCAGTTCCCAACGCTCCACTGCGGCTCCTCCAGGAGTCTGAACCAGAACAGTGATGCTAAGCGGCAGAACATCTATGAGAACTTCATGCAGGAGCTGGAGATGGGTTGCAGCAGTACGGCTGACAGGACGGAGCCATCAGAGGGGGACGGAGACGAGGGTGAGGAGGACGAGGAAGAGATAGATGGGGATGTGGAGGTGGGAGAAGGGGAGCAGCTGGATGTCCTGTTTGAGAAGGAGCAGGGTGTGGTGCGGCGGGCCGGATGGCTCTCTTTCAAACCTCTCATCACTGTTAACAAGGACAGAAAGCTGGAGCTGGTCGCCCGCCGCAAGTGGAGGCACTACTGGGTCACACTGAAAGGTACGGCCGCCTGCAAGGACCAGAAAACAGAAAGTTGAGTTCAAGTTTCAGGATTAGATCTGATCTTATTTTCAGTGAAGGGCAGAAAACTTGCGTAGGAGAAGTCTGGTGATGCCTTTAGTGCCTCTGCTAGAGCTGAAACCAGGCTTATGCTGCATACAAGGCAGCAAAAGAGTCTTTGTGCACCTGAGGCACAGTGTGAGTTTCCAGGTTCCTCAGTGTCACTTTCGGGTTACATTAACCAGGATGTTTCCAGTTAGGCAGTGGGAAGGTCTATAATCAGCCAGCTGATTATAGATTCAGCATGTTTCAGGAATTACTGACGAGTAGTTTTTGAGTTGACTGTTAACCGACCAACAACTATTTATCACTTCTGCTCTCAGCACAGAGAAGGTTAGGACTTCTTCTTAAACCAGAGGAGTCGCCCCCTGCTGGGCATCAGAGAGAATGTAGGTTTAGGCACTTCTAAATGAAACTTGATTTTAAAAAAAAGTGTTCTGTTTCATGTTAAACATTTTACTGAAGTCTTTACCATCTGTGGCATCAACAGCTAAAATTTATAAATCTCTGTGAAATAAACTATTTAACGTAGAATTAACGATGGATTTTGTCTGTTCAGGTTGCACTCTGCTGTTTTACGAGACATATGGGAGGAGCAGCGGCAGCGCCGACCAGGAGCTTTCTCCTCGCTACGCTCTCCTGGCTGATGACAGCATCGTCCAGGCCGTCCCTGAGCACCCAAGGAAGGAGCATGTCTTCTGTCTGAGCAACTCGTATGGAGACGTGTACCTGTTCCAGGTGAGGGAACCGCCAGCACACTGAGAAACATGATTTTACTGGAGTATCCTTGAATGCAGCACCAGCGTAAGCAGCTGTGGTGTTGGGACATTTCTGAGGTTTTCTCTTCATTCTTTCATTCTGTGATCGCTTTCCTCCAACTGCTGCCTCCATCTTTTTTCCCATCGCTGTGGCTCATTTGTGAGCAGCGTGAATGAACGGGGTGTGGCGTCACACCAGCATTTGGTTTTCTCACCACAAACATCCACACTGTGGGACTTTCTCTGTGTGTCTTTCTGTTGGTAATGACTGTGAGCATTTCCCCCTCTGCTGCCAGCTCCACACCACCCACACCGAGGAGCAAGCAGACAAACAAAGAGTAGATTTTACTTTTACTCCGACAAAGAAGAGGAGGCACAGATGTGTCGAGGCCCCGGATGAACTCCTGGCGTTCCTTCTAGTCGATCTTGAATGACATGAGCGGCAAAAGTCTGGATGTCAGAGGTCAGCGGGGATAAAAAGAGAGGCCGATTATTACCTGTACTCTCGTTGGTAAAGGTGATGTCATCATGTAATTTAATAATTTATTTCTGTGATCACCTCCTCAAACTTTTAGGAGCTCCTCTTGATTCCCAGAGTCACTCTGACTAATGCAGCAGAGTCTGCAGACACACAAATCACCTTCCTCCCAGAGGAGGAGGTGGAGGTTTTGTCAAGGGCTGAAAGCAGCTGAAGATGACGAGCGGAGAAGGCTGAAAGCCTGCTAATGGGAATCACGACACCCAGCTAATTACTGCAACAAATGTTCCTCTTTACGATGATGACTTGATGAAGAGCGAGCTTTAAACCCTGCCACACGTCCCCTCGTAAACAAAAACAGCTGTTAACATCAGGACATTAAGTCTGCTGCTTAAACGCAGAAACCAGACCATCAGAGGATGACTGAGTCTTGCTTCCTGCTTTCAGCAGCAAATTTACATTTAAAAGTTTCTGTATTTAAGGTTTTTGTTGTTAAAACAAAGCGCAATCAGCAGCTGAATATTCAGAGTTAATAAAGCAGGAGGCTCAAAGTTTAATACTGTTCTGTTGCTTAAAATCTGTCTGACTCCATCTTGTCTCGCCCTCCAGGCCACCAGCCAGACTGACCTGGAGAACTGGGTGACGGCAATCCACTCGGCGAGTGCCTCTCTGCTGGTGAAGCGTCAGAAGAAGGAGGACACACTGCGCCTCCTGCGCTCTCAGAGCCGCTCGCTGCTCCACAAGATTGACATGGATGGGAAGATGAAGAAGATGGCCGAGCTGCAGCTGTCCATCATCAAGGAGCCCAAGAGCAGGAAGGCAGTGGAGAGCCAGGTGAGTGCGGGGAGAAGTGGTCCGGTCAGGGCGGACAGCACGTTGGTATTATCACCTACACCGGTCCTGAATATGGGCAATGCTTTAGAATGACCCTCACAGCCATCTTTGAGTGAAGCACACATGAACATCAGACCCGACTCTCGCCTTGTTGTCTTTGAGCTTCACGATACCTTCAGTGTCTGAAGTTTGCTGCTGTCTCTGTGTTTGTTGCAGAGAAATTAGGCGATCCTGAAACTGTGCAGCAGACTGTGTTTCAGTTTAAGGGTTTCTTTTCTGCTCAGCATCAGTGTGAGTCAGTTAGGTTTCATCAGCATTGCTTCAACGGACATCAGGTAACAGCTGTAAGAGGAGAACTGTCAGTAAATCTTGATGAACGTGCAGTTTCTGAGTCTGTGGATGGACTTTGTTGTGCCACAGATTAGCTTCAGGCTGTTTTGCGGGTTTCTTTGTTCTTGTTGTTAATTTCCAGTGACAGCAATGTGCAGACAGAGAACGTATCATTTAGCAGCCTGCTAATCTTTCCTCTGAACTGTGAAACTGATCCCAGCGCTGCAGTTTGAACTCTGAGATTAGAGGCTAATCTTCCTGCTCAACATTCAATTACACATTTACTGAGAGGGAGGGGAGGGCAAACAGAGGAGGAGAAGGAGAGCCTCGATTTATTGGAGAGAGTCCAGCAAGAGAAGAGGAAGGAGGGGAGGAGAGGAGAGGAGATGAAAGGGAGGACAGGATGGAGGGATGAGGGATAATGGGTGATAATCACACAGTAAGGGACAAAATAACTTCATCACAACAGAGACTGAAGCAGGAATTGACAGCAGCAGCAGTCTGCCCCACCCAGGAAATACACTTTACCTGATGAGTGAATGGAGAAAAGATGGCTTCTCTCAGCGCCTTGCCATGACTCACTGACCATGTTTCATGGTTTTCATGGCCGTCTGATGAGTTATTATCATTGTTTTATACAGAAGCTGTGTTTATGTGTGACCCTGTGTGTGCTCAGATCCAGCAGTGGGAGCAGAATCTGGAGAAACTGAACCTGGATCTGTTCAGGCTCAGGTGCTACCTGTCCAGCCTGCAGGGCAGCGAGCTCCCAAACCCAAAGAGCCTCCTCGCTGTGGCCAGCAGGCCCTCCAAGAGCATGCTGGGACGCCTGGGAGTCTTCTCCGTGTCCTCCTTCCATGCTCTGGTAAGTAGAGGCTCGACGCTTCCCTTTTTTTTAAAAAAAGAAAGGAAGAAGGAAATTAACCAAATCTGCCTCTCTGGACTCTCACAGGTGTGCAGCCGAGAAGAGGCCACACTGAGGCGGCGCTGCCGGTCTCTTTCGGGAGGAAACCGGAGGAGGGGTCTGCCGTCCTCCCTAAAGGTCCTGGATGATCTCAACAGGCGCGGCAGGGGTGGCAAACACTCAGCTCACCAGGTATTACACTGCACCCTTTTCTTGTCCAGTTCAGTGCTGTAGTATGGTGAGAGGCAGCGTGCACCCTTCTGAAAATAGTTTGAAAGGTGAAATATTCACATGGAGTCAGAGACAGGTTTAAGAAACGTTCTACTCTGAAGTCTTTTCACATGGACGACTAAAACCAGCTCATCTGATTCAGGCTGAACTCATCGTTCCTCTCTGCTCTCTAAAAACAGCCCAGAAGAAGCGTGCTGTCATCTGTCGTTACGAGGCTAAGTTTAGCCTCTCCTCAGTGCATCATCCAGCTGCAGTTACCATCATGCCTGGCTCCTGACGGTCCCCTCGTGATAAACAGTGGGTTATTTTTGGCCTCTGAGGGTCCGGAGGATAAATCTGTCAGCGTCACTTTGCTTTGTCGTGGATTCTCGCAATTCAACTGAGCCGATACACGCTCAGTGGAAAAACTGCCTCATAGTTTCATAGCTGCAGCGTCTGCAGGATCGCAGCACGTTACCTGCTCCCTCCTGCCCTTGAGCAAGGAACTGCGCAGGATGCTTCCAAGCAGTAACTCCCGCTCTGAGCCAAACATCTGTGGATACCTTGGTGAGGGGAATTCTAGCCACATTCTGCCTTTGTTCGACTGAGAGTCCTGCTTCGAGCTGAACGCCTAATCAGTCAGCTGTTTATTTCATCTTACACAAAACCGACCAATCAGAGAGCTCAGAGGGCTTTTTGTATGCTGTCCTGCTCTTGAAAGTCAGAATGATTTATTTCCAGCAACTTTTTATTACCATAATTCATTTTTCTTCGAAATGTAATGAATGTAGGGCGTAATAAAGCCTTCTGAGCTGCTGCACCTCTACTTGTTGTGTGTTGAAGCCCAGCAGACGGTAACACAGAAAGGTCTTTCTGTGGACAGAGACGTCTTCAGGCTTGATGGAGGTGTTCGTAGTCAAGCCTGCGGCAGCTTGTTCTTTGTGCTGAGCACTTGTGGTCAGACAGACCTGCAGCATGTTTGTGTGCAGCTGAATCTCCATTCCGGTTCTGCTTTCAGATTAGATCTGATGCTGCAGGCTGTGGTTTCCGGGTGGAGCAGCTCCACTAGAGGACATGTGGAGCTGATTGCCGCTCGCTGTGTCAACTCTGCAGGAGATATACACTTACCGGAACTCGCCGCCTCCATTTCACTGCCATGTCGGGGGGTGGGGGTCATTACTGTAAAATCCTTGATTCCTTCCAGAAAACAGAAGTTTTCGTACTGACGAGTGTTTCCTGCTTAATGTTGGTCTCCAGTCATCATGTGACTCACTGTGTCCAACCGTCCACTCAGACCACAGTTACGACTGTTGTGGATGTTTTAAGGTGGTGTCGAGGAAAGGCATGCGAGTCCACGATGATGATGATGCCGATGTGTTCAGTGTCAGTCGGTGGTCCCAGACTCCAGGCAGGCTGATGGCGGCTTCACAAACCTGTAATTTCAGTGCAGCTCAACCTGCTCATTTTTTCCCATGATTCCCTGGGGCTAATTTAGGTTTTGATGCAGGACAGAATTAAACATCCCAAGTCTTTTATCATTTTTAATTACGTTTAAATATAGGAGGGAGTATTTTTAGTTTGTCTTTAGTCATGACTGTGTTTGTGTGTTTGTGTTTGACTACAGCAGTACATTATGTGGACTTTGTAGAAAGCAGCTCACTGGTTAAAGATCATGACGCTTACAGAAGTCGCGTCGCTCCTTTGAAGCACCGTCAGGAAACACTCGGGTGGATGTGAGCGACTCTGAAGCAGGAGTCACTGATCTTTTGCTGATTAAGCAAATATGAAACAGGTTATCGCTCAGAGAAAAGACGACTCAAGCTGGAAGATGATGTGACACTGATACTTGTGTTCAAAATTGTCACCCATCAAACTCACCAAGGAGGAAAAGGAGGAGGAGGTGGGAGAAAGAGGAGGAGGACAGTTTGTTTAACTGCACAGCTTTTTGAGGACAACCTTCTGAAGAGGAGGAGGTGGGAGGAGGAGAAGGAAGGGGAGGAGGTGATTGAGAATTAAAAGCTTCCAGGCTGTTTTATTCTGCCAGGATTTCTTTGTTCCTGAGAGTTAATCCTTCACAGGAGGCAGGAGATGACTCCAACACCTCCTCTCCACATGACCTCCCCACCAAACCCCACCTCCTGTTGTCACATGACCTCCACCTTCTTTCTTCTGCTCCCCTTTTAACCTCCTTCCTCCCCCTGTGTCTCCTCTGTATCCCACTGTTCCTCTTTACCCTTTTGTCTCCATATTTCATCTCCTGTGATCTTTTCAGCCAATCAGAGCTCCGGATTCTTCACAGGCTTTTCTTATTTTCCAGTCCACCTCGTCGCTTTAAGTCCTGTGGAGAAAGTCTGAATTTTAAGAATCACCTGCCTATTAGTTTAATGATTTTATAGTTTTCTGCCTTTAAAGCTTCAGTTTATCTATGTTTTTATCAAATGCATTGATGATTTTACTGATCAGAGCTTATAGAAGCTAATCGCTTATAATAACTGAAGGTAAACCTCGTAGGTCGCTCAGTCCTTTAAAACCTGTGCTGATGAGTTAAAAGTTTAATTTAAAGTAAAATTCTTCCTCTGTGCTTCTTCTGCAGAATCTGGACTGCGCTCCCAAACAGATGGAGGCAGCGCCCCCTGCCGGTCATAGTGCAGATCTGCCGGTGTGTTCACTGACTTACCTACAACTTCTCTTTAATTTTTTTCTGCGGGCAGAATGATGATAATTACTGGATTTGTATTCACATGATTCCTGCGAGGTCATTCTCCCGGTTCACTCTTCTGTGTGTGTTTTCAGTTGCGTGATGAACAGCAGCTTCCAGCTGTTGGTGTTTTTACTCTGAACATCTGTCGACCTGACGGCCACAAAGACTTCGGTGAGAAAGAAAAACTCATCACTGAATAAATAAAATTCGTATAAAAACATGACTGGTTTGTGTTCTGAGAGGATAAATAATAAGCATATTTACCTGTGTGTGATGTGCTTCTTCTTCTGTGAATCTGCAGGTTTTGCAGTGACGGGTCACGTGGACGGAGCGGGAAAAAGTCATGTTTTTGTCAGCGAGGTGGACCCGCTGGGACTTTCATCCAGAGACGGTAAAACAGAGAACGGTTTCAGGTTTTATTTTGAGGGAGACCCTGCATTTCTGACAGTTTGAGGTTTTGAAGGTGTCCAGCGGGGGGCGCTCGAGGCTCTGCTATCAGGCTGTCACCTGTGCAGCGCTACACCTCCAGAATGGGAAAAACCCTGTCTGTGTTTAGGATTTTAAAAAATGTAGAAACTTTAAAAAACTTTAAAAGATGCAGTTTAATTTTTCTGTTTCCAATCAGGCCTCAGGGCTGGAGACGAGGTCCTGGCTGTTAACGGCGCTCCTGTGTCTGGACTGGACCTGGACCTCCTGCAGAGTCTCTTCAGACATCAGAAGCTGCAGCTGCTGCTGAGGAGGGATGAGTCACCTGAGGCCGAAGAGCCTGCCGACCTCTGGCCCGACCACACTGACCCCTTCCACCCCGGCCGCCAACCACCGGCCACGAACATCCACACCTGGATCACAGGTACAGCAGAGACGCTCTGGTAACAGCATCATAATGTTCAAACACATTTCACATTTATATCAAACCGATTTCCAGTTTTAAATATAAACTCAACCATTTTAGTCACAGCTGTTTTATTGATCAGATTCATTTACAGAAACCAGAATCAAAGGCTTTTATTGTGAAGGCCAGTTAAAGCAGCAGGAGTTCTCCTGTAAAGATCACAGATCACATTTCTTCTTCATCTCACAGATTCCTCTGTCATCACAGATGCAGACAGCATCCTGCCTCCCGTTTTCGATGACACTTCTTCGAGGATACCTCAGGACACCAAGCCCTCAGAGGAGGTGAGCTTCAGTCTGTGACAGTCTGAGAACATCTGGATTTTTTTAAAATGGTTGTATGTTATTCATGACCAAGCCACTTGTGTTTTGCTTTGATCGGCGATAACCCCGTCATATGAAATCAAGAAGTTTTATGAGGATGTGATTGGTTTCCAAAGAAGGCAGCTCAGACTTACCTGCAGAAATCCTCCTGTGCCTCCTGGAGCTCCACCCCCCACCTCTGTGCACATGACCTTTGGTCAGCCTGATAATCCAGCTTACACAGTCAGGAGTGTTTGTAAAGTCAGAGCTGAGGGATTAACGTTTTTCCCTGGAGAAACACAACTTGTAGGTGTTGTTTTTGACCGCCTCTTCATTTCTGACGACGGCGGAAGGAGTATCAGGTGACCTCCGGCCCCAACTGATCCTCTTCGTCGTTGTTTCACTCCTTTGTCATGGGTGCTCTGTGCTGGGTACTGCCGATGGAGGAGGACTGGGAGACTCTGGAGGAAGAGGAGGAGGATGGAAGGGAGGTGTTCCCCGGGGTGGGGCTCCTGGAGCGGCTGCTGAGGCTCCTGGACAAGGTGGCAAGCTGCCTGGGCTGTTGGCGTCCCGCTGACGGCGTCGTCCTGCTGGTAAACGGGCTGCTGGTTGGTGTAGAGCTGAAACTTGGTGTAGAGGAAATGATCACAAGTGTTTTCTGTGCTTTAGATTTTCTCAGTGTGAGACGGTTGTACACGCCACTATCACAGCGTTACGTGTACAGACGCCCACAGGACTATGTTGTACCTGCTCAGACAGAAAGTAGGACAATAGGAACAAGTCACCACCTGAGAGAATGTCAGCACAGGACAGTAATCCCAGCCTCAGATGTCCCGGGCGGCTCAGAGTCAAACAGCTGCTCCTTCGTGAAACAGTTTAGATACCTTAGGACTGACGAGGATCCTCCTGGAGGAGCGGGAAACCTCTTGTTGAAACATCAAGTAACATCAAATATTTGAGGCTAATATTCCAATTAGTGAGATAAAATCAACTATAATCACCCTGAAAAAGCAGAGATAATTAATTGATTTAAAAAATTAAGATAAAAACAAGTCCTGGAGCTCAAAAGTGAAGCTGTTAAAAGGTTCTTCTGTTTACACAGCATCTTTTGATTCTTCATGAACTAATTGATTGTTCGAGTTAATAAAACTGTCACGCTGTGATCGCGCTAACCTAAAGATCTTCATCTTCAGTGTTTTTGGAGTCAAAGGTCAATCCTGCACTCTCGACCATCCAAAGACTCATTGGTTTCTTTCAACTCGACTCCAAACAAGCACCAGTTGCTGCTGTTTAGGCCTTTGATGCACTTATTTGCACATTAATATCCCGTGTTTGATCATCTTCCAGTTCATTATCTGCTCTGCTGAAACCTGGAGGTGGGTCTTTAGTTCTTCATCGAAACTGCTCCTCACCTCCATGAACAGTTGAATTGAACATGTCTGGGCAGTCTTTTCCCCACATGTTCAGATCTCAGGGCACTCCTCCTTCCTCGAGTTTAAAGTGCAGCGACGCTTCCTCACCGCTTATCAAAAGCTCTGCAGCTTCAGGGTGAGTGCATTGGAGCTCAGAATTCATCAGGCTGTCGGCGCTGCGTTAGAGGCTGGCAGCCCAGATTATGATGACGGATGAGGCAGCCAATTGGTTAGCAGCTCGTCCTCAGTCAGGGCCATAGCAGCAGCGGCGCTCAGACTGGGAACAGGTTTGTGTTTGTCTGTTTGGATTTTGGTGTTTGTGTGTTTAACCTCATCTCTGGCTCAGCGGCTTCCCAGACCTCCCCAAAATCCAGCAGAGAGATTAACCTCCTGCTCCACTGATCCTCGTTCTCCTGACTCAGAGCCACAGTTCTCTCCGGTTTGTCACTCAAGTTTGAGTGTGAGTGGAACAAAAATCAGTTACTGGACTTCCACCTGGGATCCATGCATCTTCTTCTGCTTATCTAATTCACAATCATGTGGGAGCTGAAGAATACCCCAGCTATAATAGGACCGGGGGGGTGGGGTCTGTTTTCTGATTTTTCTTCTTTATTGTCAAGCACATGAACAGTGGTGTTGTCCTGAATGATTTCATTGAGCTTTGGTTCCTGTGTTTCCCTCCCAGAACTTAGACCAGGTCTACTCGCTTTACCAGACCTTTCCAGAAGGCCAGACAGGAGATGGCGACAACCCCAAAAACCCGTACGGCAGAGAGGTCAGCCTGCAGCCGGTGAGCCCCACCCACCTAAGCGTGTGTCAGCGTCTGCGTAAGGTCATCCAGGAGCTGGTCGACACCGAGAAGTCCTACGTCAAGGTCAGAATACAACAGCAACAGTAGTACTACTGTGGTACTACTGCTAGTACATCTGATATGTTAATGGACGCGTTTTGACTCATTTTCAGCTCCATGTTTTTATTCTTTGTCTCTACAAGAGTAGCTTTGCATGATTCAGTTCAAAATAATCCTTCCTTATCTTATTCTGGTCCTTCAACCTTTTACCCTCTCCTTTGTCTGAAACATGCTGTTTTAGCTCCTCCCACTTATGTCTAGATTTCTTCTGATTGGCTGCCCCTGATATTACCATTTTGGGGATTTCCCCTCTCTGTGACATCATACTAAACCAGGAGTAGAAAAAACTGTGTGAAACTCCAGTTTTTTATCAGTTTATTTATAGAATAAAATAAAACAGAAACTATTTTTTTTATGTTAAAGTGATAAAGAAATCTATTCTTATGATTTTACACACAATTTGTACAGTTTTAGTTTTAAATGGTTGTATAAAATGGGTCCCTTACAAATATTAAAAGAATCTGCTATATTAATATTTTTGTCTTAATTAGAGTGTATGCTTAAACATCTTTATATCTTCAAACCTGTGTGTTTAAAACTGCTGGAAAGATCTTACTATTTGATTCGAGCCGATAATTAAATTTGAAAAAAGAAATTAGACTTTGATTAATATCAGAACATTTTTTTGGTTCTGTTTCAGGATCTCGTCTGTCTGTTCGACATCTACCTCACCCCCCTGCAGAAGGAGACGTTCCTCAGTAAAGACGAGGTAAAGACGAGCCGACAGTAAGTGACGGTTGTGAAGTGAAGGTTGTGGTTGTGACTCTGACCGCAGTGTGTCTCTCTGTCACTCTGTCAGATGGAGGCGCTGTTCGGCAGTCTGCCAGAGATGTTGGACTTTCAGAGAGTTTTTCTCCAAACGCTGGAGGAGAGAATCGCCGCCTGTCCGAACTTCAGCAGCCTGGAAACCCCCGAGCAGTTCAAGGTGAAGGTCCATCAGCTGGTTCAGACAGATTTTATTTCCTTCATTAATTTTTTTATTTTATTCTTTTTGTTTTAGTTGTGCATGCATGCAAGTTTTATTGTTTTATTTATTTAAGCTCCAGTGATTTATTTTGGCCCTGTGATGTTTTACTTTTATGCATTTTTTTCCCCAATTGTTAAAACTGATATATTTATTATATACTCCATTTCGGGTCCATTATTATTATTGTTATTTTATTTTTTACTTAGTTTTTTTATTTTTTAATAATTTATTTAATTACATTATATACATAGTATATATTTTTTGAGATATTTTGTCTTTTCACAGTTTATCTTTTTTTTATTTTTTTGTACATTTTATTCATTTATTAACTCTATTTTATTTATTTTAAGCTGTTAACATATTTCTCCTTTTTAAATGTTTCAATATTTTAAATGCGGAATTTCCATATTTTAATGAACAAAAGTTTTTATTTGCTTGTTCGATGGGTTTAGTTTTTTCACACCTCATTTGTGTTTCATTCAGAAACTCCTCTTCCCATTGGGTGGATCATTTCTGTACTACGCCGATCACTTCAAGCTCTACAGTGGCTTCTGTGCGAATCACATCAAAGTCCAGAAAGTTCTGGAAAGAGGTGAAAACACAGTCTGAGCACTTTAAACTCATTTAAGCAGCACTCCATTTAACCTTTAACCCTGACCACCTGTGACGCAGCCAAAACAGACGCAGCCTTCAAACAGTTCCTGGAGGCCAGAAATCCGACCAATCAGCACTCGTCTTCTCTGGAATCATACCTGATCAAACCTGTTCAGAGAGTCCTGAAGTATCCGCTGCTGCTCCGAGAGCTCGTGTCCCTGACAGATGCAGAGAGCCCCGAGCACACACACCTGACAGGTAACCCAAACATACACCTGACAGGTAACCCACACACACACCTGAGAGGTAACAGACCTCACAGTATTGTATTTAAACATGTTTTGTGACCAGCTGCACTTCCACTGTCATCCACTCAGAGGCGCTGCGAGCAATGGAAAAGGTGGCGAGTCACATCAACGAGATGCAGAAGATCTATGAGGATTACGGCTGCGTGTTTGACCAGCTGGCAGCAGAGCAGAGTGGAGCCGACAAACAGGTAAACACAATGACACACACACACACACACTTGAGCGTCACCTGTGTGCATCACGTACCCTGAAGGGGTTTTTTTTCCTCCACCCTCAGGTGACGGAGATCTCGATGGGGGAGTTTCTGGTCCACTCGTCGGTGGTCTGGTTGAACCCCCTGCCCTCTCTGGGTCGCTTGAGGAAGGAACCAGAGCTGACGCTGTTTGGTGGGTGAAGTCTCTTCTTCACACTTCTTTACTTGCACAGGTAATAACTGATGGAGAATAACACAAGTCTGTCTTTGTCCTCAGTGTTCAAACGAGCCGTCATCCTGGTTTACCGTGAGAACAGCAAACTGAAGAAGAAGATGGTGAGTGCACGTCTACTCTTCATCTCCTAATTTGTATAACTGAACAGATTTGTATGTCTATTTATACCAATGTAAACAAAAAAATACAGTGACAAAAAAATTAACAAAGTGTTAAAAAAATGATATTAAAAATGCAAATCTGTCAATTAAAAAGTAAAACAATATGTGTTATGTGTTAAAGAATATTTAAAAATATCAAAAGAATATCAAAATAATGATCATAACAAAGATATAAATCCCATAAATGAAATCACTTAAAATTTCCTTTTCAACTATAATATTGTTGTTCTTTTCATTTTTTGATAAAGTAAAACCAAACATATGAGAGATAACATCACATTTAAATAAATCTAAACACTGTGAGGTTTTAAAAGAAAGATGGAGGCCAAAAATGTCTAGTTTTTAAGTCAAATTAAGTTTTTTTCTCACAGACCTCGTCCCGATCAGCTGACCTTGACCCCTTCAGATTCCGCTGGTTAATCCCAGTTTCAGCGGTCCAGGTCAGACCGGCTAACATCACAGGTGAGTGACCAATCAGAGTGAGGTTTGTTACTGCAGTGCTGGTGCAACAGCTCTCCAGCAGGAGGCGCTGTGACGGTCTGAGCTCACTGTGCTGTGTGTGTAGGTTCTGAGGACTCATGTGTGTGGGAGCTGGTTCACAGTCGGTCTGAAGTGGAGGGACGACCAGAGACGGTGTTCCAGCTGTGCAGCAGGTACGGACAGCCAATCAAGTTCCTGTGGTGGTTCTCGACTCTGTGCATGATGATGTTAAGCTTCAGCTCTGTGTTTGTATTTCAGCGGTTTGGAGACAAAGGCCAGCGTGCTGCGAGCCCTGCGCTTGCTCCTCAGAGACCGAGCTCCTGTGGGATCCCTGAGGAGGAGCAGGCTGTCTACGGCTGAGAGAAGCGCCTCCTGGAGGAGGAGGCAGCAGCGCCACTCTGACACCCAGAAGACAATTCCTCACCAGCTGCAGGAGAGCTGCAGGTCTGACGGCGTCCTGGGCGACACATGCTCAGAGCCTCTGCTGCCGAGCCACGCCTCCAGCTCCAGTGCCGCTGCAGGGATGAGAGGCAGACTCTGCTCCCTGACTAGCGAGCTGGAGGCCCAGCTGCAGAGGCTCAACTTCAGAGAGGAGGAGGTGGAACAAAGAGGGACATCTATAAGTGAGGAGGAGAAAAATAAGCGGAGCTCTAGCCTACGGCGAAGTCCTGGAGATCTGCAGGACCTCAGCAACCTGCTGGAGAGAGACTTCAGCGTTCAGAGCATGACCTCCATGATAAGCGAGGACTGCTTCTATGACCCCCTCCTGGGGTTACAGACGACCGCCGCCATGCCCGCAGTGTAGGGACAAAGCTAACATGCTAACACAAGGAGGATGGTCACAATGTGGGGAGTCTAAATAAATCCAGACGATTGAGCTGGAAGTTTATCACACCTGCTCCACAGACCTGAACATGGAGGTCCACGCTGACCAAAAGGTGCCATCTGACGAGGTTCGGGTCATTTTCGAGAGTGTGAAGCAGCTTCATTCCTCACACATCGCCTCCTGCAGGTCATCACAGGTCACTACACCAAAGGAAATGCTGACAGACTAACTGACCCTTTGAGAGGATCTTCATCTCTCCAACACTTGAACTGTTCTCAGTGAGACAATGAGATAGCAGGACATCTGTCCAGCCCTCTGATTGGCTGCGAGATTCATGACACTGAAACCTTCAACAAATAAAAAAGGTCTGGAGGTGGATTGATAACAAATTTTTGTACAAGAGGAAGTCATATCAGCCAATCTGGGATTTTTTTTACTGATCTCTCTGATTCAGCATTAAAAGCTCACCAGTGATTTAATGGTAACAAAAATAAACAGCAGTCGAACGTCACCGGAAAGTGAGAGAAAAGAGTCTGACAATAAAGTCCAAGAAAAATGTAAATTTAAAGAAAACGTGTAACACTTTGAAACATCAGTTCATGCAAGTTCTTAAATTCCTAAAATTCATTTTTAATTTATGAATTTTTTTTGTTTGTTTGTTTTTAGTCTCAAAAAGAAATTTGATTTGTTTATATTTAAAAATAAGATTTTATTCTCATAAAATTACAGGTTGATCTCTCAGAAATGTGACCTCTTTCCACAAAAGTGCACCTTTATTTTTTTAAATATCAATATCATTACCTGTTAACCTTTAAAATTACCGTTATTTATGCAAAAAAAAAAACAAAAAACATTTGGCAAGCAGTTTTTAGTTTTTTCATTTAAAATTTTTTTTGAGTGTTTTTTTTTCTTTCTGAATTTTTTTTAATTTTACATTTTCTTTAAATAAATTACTTCAGCTTTGAAATAATACGTTTATGTTGCCCTCACAGTAAAACTTTATTCTATCAACATCTTTAAATATAGCTTTCTCTAAAAAACAATTTTATCTTCAAACTACTGAAATTCCTGCATGAAATTCAGCCTGAAAAGTGTCTTTTTCTTTACACGAGTTTATAATAATCTGTCTTTTAAAATGTAAATTTATACCAAATTTTTCAACTTTATTCTCAGTCTTTTTTCTCTAACAGAGGCTCTGAAACTGTAGACCCATCTCAGGCATCTCGCTAACACAGCTCACAAACCTCAAAGAACAAACAGAATCATTTGTCTCAGAGACAAACTGCAGACCTCACAAAACTTTCCAGAAACTGGAGTGTTCTTTCTAAAAATTCCTCGAGGGAACATGGTGCTCAGTTCTTTTCACTTAACCAAGCGTCTCTCTGAAGGGTCCAACCAGCTCAGTTTCATCTTGTTCGCTAATGATGGACCAAACCGAATGTTGGACTTGCTGCCTGAACTCGGCGACAGCTGTCAAACTCTTGTGTTGTAAATATTCTTGTGTGCAGCACTCATTTTGAACTTTTCTGTCTAACAGAGAAACTTTCTTGACAAAAGCAGTTTCTGGAAAAATCTGGAGCTGCTGGATCAAAGCCTTCAGTCGAGTTTTTATATTTATATATTTGTAATGTTTTGTTGACCAAGCACTAGAGAGACACCAGTGTTTTTATTTTATATTTGTGTTTTATATTTTCTAAAATGTTAAAGTATTTGGTAATTTATTTTCTTAAATATTTGTTCAAGGCAAATAAATGAAAAAAATATTTAATTAAAGATTTTTGACCTGAAATGCTCCTCCTATTGCTGTTTATTCAGTCTCTGAACAGAAAACTTCAAGGCCTTGTGACCAGCTGAAACCCCCCTGGCAACCACTGGTTGCTAGTGGGTGGTTAGCTGCGGCTAGCCGTGGTTTGCATAGAAGACGCTGACTTTTCTCAAAACTCGCCCCAGCTGCTCACTGAGTAGTTGTAAAGCTGTCAGGGAAAAAACAGAAAAGATTCACTGAAGTGGATTTGTGATGCTGCAGAGCTCTGTCTGTGCACTGCTGAGTAAAGCTGAGGTCCCTGTGCTCTCTGCAGGTCTCATTATTAATGTAAAGAGATAATAAAATCTTATTCTTTCAGAATTTGTATGTGTCTTGGGCAGCTATCCTCCCCTTGCCTCCAGTTCTCCACTTTGCGCTCTACCCTCCAACATTAAAACACCGACACCTTGTGCAGCGGTCCACGAGCTACAGACACTCTACAGGCATACCTAACCCAGCAGACTCTCGTTGTTCTTGTCATGAAGTCGTGTTTGTTTCATGAACATTATCATTTCCTGTGATGATACTCAGATTTCCTCCTTTCACTCATTTCAGTCTGACTTCACCTTCAGGGGAACAGGACGCTCAGCTCACTTTTGGATCTATAAATTAAAATTTAAAAAGCAGTGAAGGTAAAAACTGAGTGTGTGTGTATGGTGTGTGTTGTCTCTTCAGCTCTTGTTGCCAGAGTAACCGCTGTAGAAAGGAGGAAGAAAATTGGCACATTTATCATAAATTTACAGCTTTTTAAAACCTTTTAAAAACTCTGCATCTATTTGGAGACTGAACAGCTTGCCTCACCAAATGACATAATTTCAGACCTTTGAAGGCTTTAAACACTCATCGCTCAGTTCACCTAATGGTCACTGAGGAGCTGAAAGCTGGTCATGTGAGGATATTTCAGGCTCCGGTTGCCTAGGTGAACTTCTAACGTGTTTATTCACAGGTCGTATGTCAATCAACAGTGTTTTTCACTCTTATTGGACGTCTCTTGAGTCGCTCCCCGTAAAGTTCATCACTAGCTGGGTTTTGACTATCTAAGAGGGAGATAACTTGTGGTGGTGGCATTCTGTTTCAGCCCTACACTTGAAATCAGAGAGCTCTTTAAAACAACCTGTTTATTCAGAAATATAGTGTGATAAATATATATATGCACAACTTTGTAGTATCTAGAATAAAAGCATTTCTACCAGTAAAAGAGGAGAGACTGTGCAGCTGAACACACGCAGCGCTCCCTGTCCTTTGTTTTTTTTTATTTATTTATCATATAATCATATAATCCTATCATTATTTTTATTATTTTTTTTATCAGTAATATAAAAAAATCCTCCTGCACAGTTACTGTCACGTCAGGCAAAGAGCATCGGCAGGAACATTTAGACCTGATGTTTCCATCTGCAGCACAGAGACAGAGTCAGGCTTCTGTTAATTACATTTAAGACTTTTAATCCCGACTGAGGAACCTCTGAAGACCTGCAGAGACCCCGAAAGAGCTGGGGGCCTGATGAAGCCCCGGAGTTTTTAACTTCACTCTCGGCTTTCATAGTCAGTGTGAGCGGCAGGACATTTAAACACACATACAGGACAGGAACTCACAGGGTTTTAGCTTAAACTCTCACCATCCATTCGGAAAGCTTGAATACTTTGATGTCAGAAGCTGTAAGAAACTGCTGGTGGTGGGAGGGCTCTGTATTTGTTCCCTTGAATTTGAGACATTTTTACATACAAAAACCTCTGAGCTTTTTATATTTCTACTCCTTGGATCTTGTTTGATTCCCTTTTCGTGTCCAGCCTGTCCCAGTTTCATCTCCGTGCTTTGTTACCCTTTTCGTCTCCCCAGTTTTGTCCCCGTGTCGTTCTGCTCTCTGTGTTTTTGTGGTTTTCCTGTCTTGGCTATGTCTTTCGTCCTGGTATTCATCTCTTTCCTGCGATCGTCAATCTGTGTTTCATCCTTTTATGCCCTTCTAGTTACATCGTGTTCAACTGTGCTCCCAGGGGTGTCTACTCTGTCCTAATGTTCTCGTGTCTATATATTATCTGCATCTATATACATCTCCTGCATCTGGTCTTTGTTGTGTCCTCTCTCAGTGTATTTTCTCAGTGACTGTTTTTGCTTTTGTTTTCTTTACCTTTCTGCATAAAAATAAATCAGTGATTATTCTATCTGTGAATCCTGCATCAGTTTCATTTGCCCCGTATCTTCGCATTCAGGGGTTAAAATAGCCTTCACAATAACTACAGTTATGTGCAGAGTAATCTCTAGTGGGATGAGGTTGAGACGTTTTATTGATTGAATCAATAAGAGGAGGTAGGAGGAGGTCGGGGTGGATGAAGGGTTTACAGCCATCGTGCACCATGTTTGCTCAACTGAAAAAGAGATGCCAGAAAAAGAAAAGAACCAGAAAACGTTTTCATAATGGTTCAGACAGTTTAACCATCAAGATATTAATTATTGACCCAGCACGGTGGCACAGAGGTTAGCACTGTTGCCGCACAGCAAGAAGGTCCTGCGTTCAATTCCACATCAGGCTGGGGTCTTTCTGAGTGTGAATGGTTGTCTGTCCCTGTGTGTTAGCCCTGCAACAGACTGGTGACCTGTCCAGGGTGTACCCCGCTTTTTGCCCTATGACAGCTGGGATAGGCTCTAGTGCCCCCCGCGACCCTGAAAAGGATGGATGGATGAAAAATCTTCAAATCTTGTGAGCCAAAAAATCTACATCAGCCTTATAATTTCTACTTATTTAAGCTATCTGTCTTTGACTTAAATGTTTAACTTCCTGTAATACCATTAATTTTGCTTTGGGATAAATATTTACTGATATTTCACCAACAACACAGAACTACTGTGACATGGAAGAAAAAACATCTATTAGCATGTTTAGGCTGACTTTAAAGCAGAGCATTTTTAATTAAACTGAAATGAAGCTACTTTAATAATTTTTATGATGAAGGTCAGTGTAACACACACACACACACACACATACACAGAGAGAGAGAGCGAGAGTCGTGTTTTAATATCCTTGTCAGGACATCTAATTGAAATAATAATAATAATAATAACTTTATTTATAAAGTGCTTTCAAATAAAGTGCTGAACAGCAATCTGACGATAAATAAGACAAATTTTTTAAAAAATACAGTTAAAACCCAAACAACAGTTCGCCCTATGACAGCTGGGATAGGCTCCAGCGCCCCCCGCGACCCTGAAAAGGATAAGCGGAAGCGAATGGATGGATGGATGGACAGTTAAAACCTGATAAAACAAAAGAGAATAGCAATTAAAACTTTAGCCATAGAATTAAGTCACGAAATAATGCTTTCCCCAGCCGCTAACTAACCATCAAAAATGAATGCTTAACCCTAACCCTCAGCCTAAACCTGACCATAACCTGACTGTAACCTTGACATTAAACCACATTTTGAGTGTCAAATATGCCTTCAGGATTTTGGTCCCCATAAGGTCTGTTGGTTCCCACAAGTACAGTAAACTTCTAATTTTTAGTCCCCACAAAGATATTAATACACATCCACACTCACACACGCTCACACACACTCTCAGGCTGTGTGTGTTGAGCATAGATAAAGCACTTCATTTATATCCCCCGCTGGTTGCTGACTGATGGCTGATGGAGCCTGGGGTGGCGGTGGGGGGGTTGTTTCTGCCAGATGGTTTGATTCAGCTCCAAACTATTATCACTGTGACTGAGGGGTCAAAGGTCAAACTGTCTACTTTAATGTGAAGCTAATTTCAGCTGTGTTGGGTGAAAGAATGAGGAATTGCACGGCTCTGTGGATACTGAGGAGGAGTCAGAGGAAATCCTTCCACTCTTCTTCATTCTTCGTCCTCATCGAGTCGGCTCACATCAGCAGAGTGTGAAGCAAAGATATCCACCCACACTGCTGAGCTCACACAGATTTATCACGTTTCTCCATCAGAGAAACAAACCACTGAGAAATCAGAAAGATGTTCCTGAATGAAAACGGCAGAATGAAAACGCTCATTTATTTATTTAGATTCATTCCCAAGTGATTACTGGCAACATTTTTATTTAGGCTGCTTTATACCATAAACACACACTGATTCAGTGTGTGTTTTCATACAGAAACCAGTACATTAATTTTAAAAATATAACACAAGTAATTTACAAAATGTAAATTACAGGTGCATGAAAAGAAAAATCAATTAAATTTTATATAAAGTCGGTAACCATCCAGGTCGTCACAGTCTTGTCTCATCACAGAGGCCTCTTTGGTTAGCGTGGATTCCCGGGTGTTTCACCCCCGCTGGGTGGGGGACATCCCCACGGAGGTGGTCCTGAAGATCGTTGACCAACGAATCATCACAAGGTGTGAAAATTTTAACAATAATCTTGATTATGATAAATGCAAACAGATTTTTTTAAGTTAAACAAGCAACTGTAAAACCAAATTTAAACTCTCCCCATCCAAACAAGTCATAGAGACAAAATGATCTTTAAATAAAATAAAATAAAATAAAAATAATTTAAAATAGCGAAAATGCTTCTTTTTAATTAAAACAAAAGAATTTACAAAAAGCCGCACAAAGAAAACAATATATAAATAAAATGAAAAAATGTGAGAATTATTAAATGTAAAATACAAAAGATAAAAATAAAATTAATTTCTTCATTTTTGTCTTTAGACAAGTAGAAAAGACAGAAAACAAAGCTGCTCGCCAGTAATCAGACTTCCTGAACAACAGCAGAAAAACACAGCATTAAAAGAAAAACCTTAAAGGACAGAAAAGCAGCTTCTCAGTTTGTCCTCTGCAGCGTTCAGACATTCAGGCCCGCGGGCGGCCACTCAACCCTCCAGAGACCCGCCTCTAATAGCCCGCTGCCTGGTTTCACATCGCTGAGCAACACGGCAAGCGGCTGGATGTTAAAACAGGCTGTTCAGCA